ATTTTCTGTATACTTTATACCAATAGGCAGATATCTTCATGCGTTTATAAGGATCACTCAGTTCAGCAAATTAAAAAGGTTTGATTGGTCATAACTTTTTAACTATAAGCATTTGTGTTGTGTTATTAATTTGTACAGATATTTCCAAAAGTTCCCTTCAAGGTGACGAAAAAATTTTATGCACTTCGCAAACATAACGCCGTATTTCTAGGATCACTCAATCTAAATGCGTCAGGATTGAGTAATCCAATGAAACTATCATAGATTCCTGGATTTAAGTTGAAGTAACTTGATTTTTTGTAAAATAATGTGACAAATTATGTACATTTTTTTAATATCAAAATTTCGTTCACAGCGTTAAAGTTTTCTGAGATTCAGCGTATACTATTTTGCCTAATGTCTGAATTGAGTGATCCACATTTTGGGCAATATCTTCGGTCGCCTGAGAGTGACAATTTTTTTGATTTCGGTTATGACTTTTGACAATTTTACACTAAACGTACGTCTTGGTTTTATTGAAAACTAAACAAGGATCACTCAATTCAGATGCACATGAGACCTTGTACTGAGAAGAACCGGCAAGAAACTCAGCAAGGACTGTTTTTTTCTCCCTGTATTATCATTTACAGAGTCGTCAAGTTGAAAAATGACTTCAGAGATGATTCATGAAGTCACCTCTCATTACATAATGTGAAATTATACATTAATTTTTACCTGCATTTTGATTGCTGTGTCACACAGTATAAATACAAATAGAGTTATTTATAATAGGTGGTAATTAAACTGTAATAGTTTTGGAGTTGAAGTGAAAAAACGTATGGGTAGTAAAGTTTTGAGAACAATGGCGTCGTGTGTACAGCACGTTAACCAGAAAGCAATTAGCAGCAGTTTTTGTAGCCAACTAAAATGAGTTCTTTTAATCAATCCATATATTATTAAAGTTCCAAATTATATTAAAGTGAAAAGTGGTCACTTTTGGGATCAAACTTTATAAAGGGTGAATAGAATTAATTTTCGCTTACTTTGTATGCCTGATTGAATTTTGCTATTTAAAGTTATGTAGACAAATGACTCTTTGATTTATGATAGACCTTTGATTATATACATGCCTTTATAGAGCTATTTAAATAATCTGTGAAAAGAAAAGGGCTGATGTTACGTGAGTTACATATAATGAAAGGACTCTCTCCCCCACCTGATGTTAAGTTGTAAAGTTCAGAGGCGAAGATAGCTGATGCAGCAATTCTAAGCTGCTATACCAACCATCCTCACCTTATCGGTCTGCTCAGATGTTTCTTGACGCCTATTTTATAGGACTCCAAATTGTAGGAACCTCTTTCCTACAATCTGGAGTCCTTGACTGTTCGCGTCCGCGTGGCCGCCGTGTGATCGAGGAGCGGACGCCGCGCAGTCACTTACTCACAAAGAATTTCAACGTTAAGTCCTAGATAATAAAACATAAATTTGCTATAACTGAACAGTTAGTACGCGGTCACCCGGCCGCAAGAAATTTTTCGTGTCTTCTAACTGCAGCCTTAATGTGCTACACACATCCACCGTCTTCCCGATCACTAGATCGTCGGTCCATCTGGTGCGGAGCCTTCCCTCCGAGCGTCGTCCAGTGCGTGGTCGTTATTCGAGAACTTTCGCCCCAACGGCCATCAGTTCTCCTCGCTATAAGTCCCGCACACTGCCACTTTCAATCGTATAATATCCAAACATAATCATCATCATCAGCCTATTAATGTCTGATGAATAGGGAGACTGGGCCATGACCCGGTACGCGGGCCCAATGCGGATTAGTGGGTGCTTACGACTTCAGATGCAGCCGGGACCAACGGTTTGACGTGCCTTCCGAAGCACGGAAGAAACGTCAATAAATAAATAAAGTTTCGTGCATTAACCCGTAAAAAATAGTTTTATTTAATGAGTGATGTGCGTGAAAACCTAAGAAACAAACATATAATTATAAACAGCTGAAAACAAAAGAAATACAAAAATTAAGCATCACAAACATTGATAAATCTAATAGTTATAATATTGGTCAACCAGGACCCTGCCTCAATATAATGCTACCTGACGCTGGTATTCTGACAGAGCCTGTATTGTGCACGGCATTTCAATATTAGTGCAGCGCCCGGGGCGTTAAATACATGAAAACCTCGGATTTTAGTTACAGTGAATGAAATTAAAAAAAAAACAAATGGAATGATCAGCTCTTAATTTTTATTTGACATTGACTGAACGCACAAACCCTGCATGCCATAAAAAAAGAAAAAGAAGAAGAAGAAAAAAAGTTTACCTATTAAAAATTTGTGATCTTGTTTTTTTTTCAATGAGTGTGCTTTGCGGTAGTGTCTTAAGATTTGTACTTACTTGGTGTATAATTTTCGTTACTTTAATTTCACTAGCCGATTTTAATATATGAAACTCCTCTTCTTTTTTGGGTTCCGAAAGAGAAGACTCCACTAATGTCCGTCTGTCTGTCTCTCACCAGGCTGTTTATTCAAAGTTGTATATAAATTACGAAATATCCTGCAATAAAGTCAACCAAGGCCGTTTAATTTACATTTCCAACTAGCAATATCTCAATTAAATAATAAATTATAGATTAGAATAGACTCAGAGCTGGTAGCCAAAAAAAAACATAGGTATACTTTCTTTAAAATTATGTATTACTAGTGGCCCGCCCTCGCTTCGCTTCGGTGTAGAGCTATAGTGTAAACTATAGTTTTTGTTCTCAGGCTTGTGCCATAAAGAATGACTTTATTTATATAATTACACGTGTTATTGTGAGACAACCATAAAAGATAGACATATGCTGTTGCGGGATATTTTTTAGACAATTTTATGTAGAATATTTCCGTCATACATGATTTCTATGTAACTTTAACCATTAAGGTTGCACCCGCGACGGAAGCTTAAAAAATGGAGTAACTTCTCCCGTTTTCCCAACATTTCCCTTCACTACTCTGCTGCTATTGATTGTAGCGTGATGAAAAGTATACTATAACCTGCCCAGGAGTATGAAGAATAATTGTACCAAGTTTCGTTAAAATCCGTTGAGTAGTTTTTGACGTGACAACGTCTTAAATTAGGTTGCGGCTGGGAGTCACTTATGAAAAAGTGTAACGCTCGGTAACGTTACGATGAGTCTCTCGTGTTAAGTTTAAGTTTACATGTACAATGTTTTAGTAAACAAAATATATTTCTATAGTTAAAATTTGTGCAATTCTTATTTTCATTCAATTCCTTGTTCCTATTGTGCAATTTAATTATATTCATATCAATAAATATTCTACCGAGAAAAAGACGTTGTCACGTAAAATCTTCGCCCGTAAAACCGACTTTACAGGCAACCATTTTTGTTTCTATAAGGAACATACACACAGACAGACAAAAATTTTACTGATTGCATTTTTGGCATCAGTATCGATCACTAATGACCCCCTGATAGTTATTTTAAAAATATATTTCATGTACAGAATTGACATCTCTACAGATTTATTATAAGTATATAGATTAGCGGAACATTCCATTTAGATTTTTTTTTCTTTCATTGTTGCAAAAATCCGAGGTGTAAACCCGCAGGCGCTCCACTATATACAAATTGAATGAATGAACTCGAATAGTAAGAAAATAAGTGTAAAAATGAAATGGAAAATTATAGGAAAAATAAATAAAAAATATGTGACCCAGTATCATTTACTGTGTTATGTTATTCTGTGGTTAATGTGTGACTTAGTTTGTCTGTCACTTTTTACTACTTTTTTACCATTTATAATATTAGAATAGGCAGACCGTTTTGAGGAGCTCGATGGCGCAAGTGGTTAGTGTGTTCGGCTGCGATCGTTGAAGTTAAGCAATTCTCGCAGTGGTTGGTTAATGGATAGGTGATCAAAAATTAATTATCACGAGCTCCTCCGTGCTTTGACAGGCACGTTAAGCCGTTGGTCCAGGTTGCATCTGCAGTCGTTAGCATCCACCAATCCGCGTCGGGCCCGCGTGGTGGGTCATGGCCCAATTTGCCTATTTCATTCGTAGCGAGGGCTTGTGCTTCAGCAGTGGGGATATGAATAGGCTGACAATGATGAGATCGCTTAACTGAGTCGTCGCCTGCGGGGTAGAGGGTGCCGCCCGCACTTCTTATGGCCCCCGTTCTCGCTCTCTTCCATTCCATACTTTCTATCTCGTAGGCGAGGACTCAGGTAAGCGCTCTATCCTATAGGATGTTATACAGTTGACACAGAGTCGATTGATTATGCTGTGGTATAAATTGATAATTGAATTTCAGTCCATCCATAGGGAAGGCCTACGTTTCAGTAGTGGTGATAACATATTTTGCTGACGTGACATGGTTAATTGGACGAATTTCAATTTCAGACGGAATCGTTTCGGAGCTTGGCACGAGCGACTGCACTTATGCGTATTTGGGGTGTTCTAAGGGAATATTCACAGAAGCAGGCGTTTTTTTATAGCTAGATAGGCAAATAACTCTATCTCATCTGATGTAAAGTGGTGATACAGTCCAAACGCGAAGATAGCTGGGACAGCAGTTGTAAACTGCTACACAGACTGTCCTCACTTCGCTGGCCAAGGGCGGATCCAGCTTTGGCACCAGGAGGGGGTCATATAGTCGTGGTCAAGTCACAGTGGGTACAGATGCACCCAGCTCAGGGGGGGGGGGGGGGGGGTCATGACCCCCGTGACACCCCCTCTGGATCCGCCCTTGTCGCCGACTTACAAAAATGTTTCTTTCCGCCTCTCTTAAAGGACCCCAGATTATAGGAAGGAGGAACACGTGCGCGGGTAAAAATAGCCTGCCCCTCTAGCATGACCACCGAAACGGGATATGATAAAGCGATATATCGGCATTAACCGTCAGACTACTATGGAGTTTGGCAGTAGTCTGACGGTTAACGTCGATATATCGCTTTATCATATCCCGTTTCGGTGGTCATGCTAGAGGGGCAGGGTTAAAATAAAACATGCAGGATAGAGTACAAACAGCTGATTTATTATATTATAATTAGATGTTGCGTTGTTTACAGCCTGGTGAGGGTGTGGTGATGCAACGCATGGTCCAGGTCCCGGCGCCTGGCGCTGAGCCTGGCGTGAAGGTATCTGGCCACGGCCTCCTCGCACCACCCCTGCGTGTACAGCGCCGCGGCGCGCTCCTCCTCCCCGGTCCCCGCCCCCGGTCCCGGTCCCGGTCCCACGCCCGCGCCCGGTCCCGTCCCCGGTCCCGCCCCCGCGGTACCACCTGTGCCTGCGCCCGACCCACCGCCCATTGTCTGCGGTAAAAAAAAGTGAAACCAACTTTTATAATAATAATAATGTATAATATTAACATAATTAAAAAAAAATGTGTGCGTGTACTAGTGTACACACGTAAGAAGTGAAACTTCTTTATGGCCTTATTTTTCGAAAAATGATCTACATGCAACTTTCCAGAAATTGGTTAAATAAAGTTAAATTAAATAAAATTTAAACAAAAGGATTTTATTATCATAGACATGAATACAAATTACTGCCTATGAAACTGTTATGATTACACGGCTCAATGATCTAAGGCACATGTTCCACCTCCGACGATGAACGATAAGCGAGTAGAAACTAGAAACGAATTGGCAATCCTGAGTTAAAATGCACGCGCACGGCTTTTGACAGCCAAGCCAGCTTAACCGAGCGAGTATAGCTGAGCTAGTATCGCTGAGCGAGTATCGCTGAGCGAGTATCGCTGGGCGAGTATCGCTGAGCGAGTATCACACTGTCGCCAGCGAGAACTCTCTCTACTCGTTTGTAGCTGAGTGACAATAATTATTAAAGATAAGACTCGCTCAGCCAAACTCGCATAGCGATACTCGCTCAGCGACATTTAGCTAAGTCACTAGTCATTTATTTACATCACAAATATCCAACAGAAGTATTCATTTGCTCGATATCCTATACGATATTACTATTTCACAGTATAAATAAATAAAAAGTTTTTTTTAAAGATTTAATAAAATTAAAACTATCCACTTTTTATGAATTTCATAAATCCCGTGATATCGTCTTCTAAAATTTGTCTAATACCCTATCACTGAACGATTTTGATTATTGTAATACGAGGGGAAGTCAACAAGTTCGCGGAACGGAGGGGTCGATAGGGGTAGGTCGACTCGTCCAGGTGGGCACTAGTCGAGCACCTCATTAAGAATATATATATACCAAGTTTAAACCTAACAGGGTCATGAGGACTATCTATACAGTCCTATTAGGAAAGATCAGACCTATGGAAAGATCCGTAGAGTCGCTGCGCACGGATCTTTCCATACCCCAAGTGCTCCGACGTAAAGCTGAGACTTTATCATATTTGTTCCTTAGGTTTTCACGCACATCACTCATTAAATAAAACTAGTTTTTACGGGTTAATGCACGAAACTTTATTTATTTATTGACGTTTCGCAGCCTTTTCAGGTCTGCATCGTCAGAATAATGTTTTTTTATTTAAATTGTCGAGCTACCTTCGAAAGACTTATGAAATAACCGAACGCTCAATATAAGTCTTTCGAAGGTAGCTCGACAATTTAAATAAAAAATCATTATTCTGACGATGCAGACCTGAAAAGGCTGCGAAACGTCAATAAATATAAATAAAGTTTCGTGCATTAACCCGTAAAAACTAGTTTTATTTACTGAGACTTTATCGCTCCGCGAGCACTGCCTGGCGCCACCGTGCCAGCGTGGATCACCGCTTCACCAGCCGCAGGCCTAAGCGTCGTCCAAGATCGCGCAGACGTAGCCCACCACCGCAGTAATGGGCACCCACTACCGGACGCCACCCCTATCAAACCTCCAGGGAGACGTTGGATTGGCCCAGATAAAGGCCCTCTTTGCGGCCAGGAAGAGCGGTACGGGATCGCCTCGCGTCCAATATGAATTGGACGCAGCGATGTCGTCCCGTCTCATCGACTCCGGTCTCTTGTTGTAGAAGTCGACGGACTGGATCCGGGTGTACATCCGCCTCATGGAAGAAGACGAAGCGCATACCGCGAACCGCAGCCCTACAGACGAGAGATTGATCGAGGCGTGTGATCACATAAAATTCCGATCACTCGTGCTGCCGCCGCTGCAAAAATATTACCAATCTGGAATAAATCCGGACGTACGACGCTCCCGCGCGACACAATCGCGCGACCCGCAGCCAAGGAGACGCTCCTGCATCCCTGCTGGTAACCCTACCCGCAAAGGCGGAGATCCCCAAGGACGAAGACGACCATCAGCCCAGGGAAGAAACCAACCTCGCCGCACAAGAAACAGAACACACTGCTGTACTGTACTGTAAATCCTAGTCTGCTGTATCTATAAATATATAATATTGCATAATATATTTATTTGTGTAGGTATATATAGTATACTAGCTGACCCAGCGAACTTCGTACCGCCCTAAAAAAATAGGGGTTGTCCAGCGGACAAAATTGTGAATCTAAACCATTCTCAGATCCCCTTGAACACACACAAAAAAATTCATCAAAATCGGTCCAGTCGTTTAAGAGAAGTTCAGTGACATACACACTCATAGAAGAATTATATATATAAAGATATATTTGTGTAGGTATATGTTATTTATTTGTATATAATCTTTATATGTTTAAGAAAATATGTACATTTCTTTATTTTATCTTGCTGGCATACTACAACTTCCTCTTCATTTAGTTATCCTTTACCGCAAAGGTTGTCTGGAAGAGATCGCTTAAAGCGATAAGGCTGCCTTTGCCCACATTGTGTTATTGTTTCCTTATTTTTGTATTCTTTTGTGTGTGTGCAATAAAGAATTTATTTATCTATCTATCTATCTGTACCGACAGAGCACGCACAGACTGCTGTACCGACTCGGTCGTACGATGAGGCCGCGAAAATTTTCGCGCCTACCCCCGACACCGATGAAGAAAAATCATCGACCGCAGCATCACCCACAGCCGAGCCGACAGCGCAGGCGGCCTCCCGCGGCGCTCCCACGCACATTGTGTTATTTCACCTCAAAATTACCACTCCCTTGATTAAAGGTGAATCAGATAAAGCTCTTCATTCTAAGCGCAAGAGTAAAACTCCCACGATTCTAACTATAATAGTTTCGACGAAATCCCGGTTTCGAAAAAAAAAGAAAAAAAAGAAAGAAAAACTGGGATTTCGTCGAAAAGTATTATAGTTAGAATCGTGGGAGTTTTACTCTTGCGCTTAGAATGAAGAGCTTTATCTGATTCACCTTTAATCAAGGGAGTGGTAATTTTGAGGTGAAATAACACAATGTGCCACGTCGCGACGAGTCCGTAAGCACCCGTCGATTGTGGTCGAGCAGCTGCGGGACTGGCCGAAACTAGGGACACGATATCGAATAGAAAGTATCGATACTATACTCATGAGTAGTATCGGAAAATAAGTATCGTACTCGTAAAAGTATTGAAACAAAAGTATTGATACTTCGAAGTATCGAGTACATTTCATAAGGCCTTATGTGCTTCCAATTATATCAACGCAATGGAATGTTTTAGAAGGTTTGCTTTGATTCCACTAGATGGCGTTGCCATCAATATAAGGCGCTTACCCAAATTTTTAAAGGTATCGATACTTGCCAAAAAGTACTCATTTAGTTAATGTATCGAAAACCAAGTATCGAGTACAAAAGTATCGGTATCGAAAGGAAAAGTACTCGATACCACAAAGTATCGATACTTTTTTCGTGACCCTAGCCGAAACATTTGCGCGCCTCACACGAGAAGCTCGGACGACCGTCCAGCGCACGCCCGCGTCCTTATCCACTATAAGCACGGTTTTGACGCGATAACCGTCTTTATAGTCTTGTATGGACTTGTATAGACGCGTTCACATGAACACGGGCGCGGTACGGCACGGCGAGCGCAAATACCATTCGTCAGCTAAAGTCATAAGGGAACGGTCGGATGATTGTTGCAGAATGTCTGTCGAAATCGATGTTGATGTGTTGATTTCGCTAATTGAAGCGCGTCCTACTTTATGGGATAAAACCATCGCGTCTTATAAAAACAGGGACGAGACAAAAGAAGCGTGAAAAGAAGTATCTATCGGATTAAATAATAGTTTCGAAGAATTAGATGATAATCAAAAGAATTTTTTTTTGTTCCATGATAAAAGACGTCGTCGTTCTCCAAAATTCACGATAATACTGCAAGCCGGCGACCGTGTGTCAGCCGTATACATGTGAAAGAGCTAGCACGGTTGCACGGCATGGCGGCCGTACCGTGACCGTGTGCATGTGAAAAGGGCCTCAAGGTGGCAATCCGCGGACTGCCCCTTGACACCACGCCGCATGACGTCACCGAGGCCCTCGCTGAGAAGGGCTTCATCGTAGAATACGCGAAGAGGATCCGAGCGCGAGCACGCTACACTCCGCCGTACTCCTGACATCATTCCGGCCGTCTACTCGGTGAGTCGTCTACTAAGTATGGATCACAATCGAAGCCTGGAGAGGAAGGAATAACGCCCCCGCGCAGTGTCACCGCTGCCAGGGGTTCCGCCACTCCAGCCTCGGCTACCAGCCGCCCTACACGCCGCCGCAGAAAACCCCGACGAACGAATGCATCGCCGACGGACACGCCCCCCGCCACCACACCACCCAGCGAAGCAAACCACGACTCCCGAGACCAGCCACCGTCTATAGAAGACGCGCTTCGAAAGATGCTCCGATTATCGACCTGCAAACGACTAAATCGGGAAGAAGTCAGCCGATATGGAGAAAATTGAACACCGCGCCGTTGTTAAGTTCCTTACCGAGCGAGGAAAATCCGCTCAGATTATTGAAGTTATACTTCTTTAGGCGCGTTATGAAAAAATGATGAGAGTGAAATTTTAAGATGCGCGCGCATCACTGTAACGCAAAATTTCAAACTTCATGCTGTTACTTTTGTGTTTACCGCACATTAAGAAAATCTACCAACAAAATAGAAATAGAATCTGTATTTAGTGGGTGCTAACGACTGCATTGTGAAGGCCTATCAAAAGTATTTATTAATCTGGAACAACGGAACCAAAGCGCGATTCAGGAGACTACAGCGCCATCTCTTGACCATTGGCGTAGTAGAACCAAAAACCACATCTTTATTTTTTGTAATAAAGTAACAGTTATAGCTATTCATATTTATAATATTTATCCACATGTTTCTAGTTTGTATATTCGGAATACGTGTTTCAGTTTCATACAAGTGCAAATCACATATGTTCTAATAAATTATATTCAGTAGTGATTTTAATTGAATATTTTGATTATTTATTT